TTAGTTGTAAAATTAGTGTGTTCTAATATTTAAAGTGGATGCGTTCACTGTTATCATTAAAAATTCAATCAGTAAACTTCCAATTTTATAAAAACAAGACTCACTGCCAAATTACCTCTATAGGAGATAATCTGGAAGATTCAGGATTCATTCCTCCTTGCAACGGGACCTTTGACGTTTGACGAGCCACTTAACTTTTCTTCGCTTCGGATTGATCCCGTGGGTCTCGGCAGAAGCAAAGTATATTCAGCTTCGTTCTTCATCATAGAGATTGTTCTTTTTACTATTGGATACATTTACTATTGGATAAATGGATAATAACACTCAGCGGAAAGATTTTGATTAGATCAGACTGGTTATCCTCTCCAATGAACATATTTATAGTAGTTATTTTTCGCGGATAAAGTCTCGTTTTGTATTCGTTACATTTTAATTAATCTCAATTTCGGGAGTGCCGTGAAAAATATCGATTGTAATTTCCCACGAATATCGTGAGTGCATCGAGGGAGTACTCTGGATTGTTTTTTTTTTTTATTATCATTTATTTATGTGATTCAAAATGTGAGTGAGTGTTGCATCATCATTCAGACAACCTGAGAGGAGGAGGAGGCCTAGGAGAGGCATCATGCGTCGGCGGAGCAACCTTGAGGTAAATGTAATAATTAATTTAAATATAATATATTTTATATAAAAATATCTATTTCTTTTTAATTAATTTCTGTATTCAGATAATTTAAAAAATAAGAATTGACAAGAAAGATTTTTCTATCTAGTTAATATTTATTTATTATTAAATTTCTAATTCTTATAAAAAATTACTAATAATTTTTATAAATATTTCCTTAAAGAATGAATATAGAATTCAATATACTCAGTAATTATTTTTTTTAAACAAGAATATTTATTTTTTTTAAACAAGAATATTTATTTTTTTTAAACATTGTTTTAATGTGGATCTTAAATTTGTATGTTACAGTATCATCGTAATCGACCGGTTGCAGATTTCTCCGCTGTTGCGCATCGAGTTGGTGAGTGAGAAAAAAGATTTTTTATTAAATAATTAATATAAGAATTATTTTAAATAGTAGCTAGGTATGACGTATCACGACAATAAATTGTTACACATAAATTAGGTATCTCATCGATCTATTGCTTTAAAATAGATTAGATTGTAATGTTAAATCGTTAAGTCTAATTATAGACTATTAAATTAAATATATTAGAAATATATAACATATGTTATAAATATATAACAAAATAAATTGCATGAAATAAATGATAAATAATAAAAAAGTTTTTAAAACACATATAAATAAAAGGGAATTGTCGAATTGGAATCAACGAGAATGGTGGAGGGCCTCTACAAGTGAGCTCATTTTCACCGGATAAAAATTTTAAGTGAAATTGAAAGCGTGATTTAATTTAATTATAAAAATCTAGACCGAATTTAGTAAATTTAGCAAAGTACATTTAATTGCAACTATATCCGATAAAAGTAGGACCTATATAAAAAAAATAAAAAATTCTACAGGAACAGCTGTTTCGCCCAGGTCTTTAAATTTCACAGATCAGCTGAGAAAGAAGAAAAGAAAATTGAAAAAAGGAACAAGATGTAGCAGGAGATAATATTCAAACAAAACTTCAAGCGTACTTAATCTTTTTTTTTTACTTAATTTTTTTTCTTTAATTCTTATTAATCCTTATAAATTAGTAATCGAGAATTATATTATATTTCCAATATATTTTAAATTGATTAAATTTAACTTATCCATTGATTGAACTTATTCATCTGACCCATCGATGGAAAAACTAAATATCTAGGCTTGAAAAAATTTATTTACATTTTTTAGATTAATTTTAACAATACTGTTAATGTAAAATGTAAACAAGTTTATATGATTTTTGAAAATGCAATATTAAACAAAGGATTCGACTGATTATTTAAATTCATGACGAGCTATTGCAATAATTGAGTTATGTTGGACCTCTAATATAATTAATGAATGCGATTTTAATAAAATCGAGCAATCTTTTATGATTAAGGAAGAGTAATCTCGAAGAGTGTTAACTCTCTGTTAACTATCAGATTAAAGTTTTAATTACGGTAATACAAAAACATAGTATAAAAACACCATTAAACGGTAAATGAACTAAAGGCTTTACGGCAACTTTTTCATTCTTAGAATCCTCCGTAGAGAGCGGCTTTGCTGGATAAAAATAAATACTAAATCGATAGCAAACGCATGCATTGAAGAAAATCTTTTCTGCGCGAAACACTAAAACGGTTCGCAAATTTTAAACCGAGCGATTGCTCCAAATTGTAATTTATAAATATTGTCATTAATTTTAATAACTAGCTTTCTCTAATACTGCGTTTTTGAAAATTCATTATCATCATATTTATTATTTACTACAAGTTTTCCCTCGAGAAGTACAAAACACGCTTACGATAATTTAACTAAATCATAAATTATTCAACTAACAAAATCACGAAGAAACCCTTAAATCCCAGTTGATATTATCGTCAAGTTATTCGTCTCTGAGTGTCTTTTGGCGTTAACACGCTTAAAACTTTGACTTGAATCATTTGGTGGAAGGTGTTGCCATCTCCGGGAATTTTATACTCCTTTTAGACAAAATTTTTCGAGATGATAGTTCAAGAAATTTATAAAATTGAACTAAAAGGTACATGATTCGGCATTTAGAACGGTATGCGTATGAGAAAAAAATACATAAAAAAAAAAAAAATACTGTGTACTTTCGATATCGATCGCTCATTTGCACATGTGTAAATTACACATACATATAATATCTATGCGCACACACGGCGCACACACCCCATCCATCGGTGTCCACGTTGCGTACGCGATCTGTACTCTCCCTTAGTCTCAAGGTGGAAAGCGGGGGTTGCGCATGGCCGTGAGTGAAGAGAAATTTTCGCGAATCGATAATACGCGAGCAGCTGTAACAGCGGGTTAGTCACAGCTTGCATGTCCCGTCGTTGTTTGGTCCATCCGCGAGCAACCCTCGAAGCCCCCCATCCCCTTGCACTACTCCTCCTCGCTCCTTCGGCACTCACAGCTCTTGCGAAATACATAATTCATTTCATGTCTTGAACAAACAAACAATAATTTCAAGTTCTCAAAATGTATATTTTTTTCCTTGTTCAATGTATCGATCGAGATTAGAATCGACGACCCTGCAAACACAAAGATCTACTCGCAGATCAATAATTCTCAATAGATCAATAAATTCACGTAATTCATGATTTCGATCGCTCGAGAGACGGCGATTGCAGGTGAAAATAAAAGAGGGAAGAGAACGACGTGTCTAGAGGACAATATAGGTAAAGAGAGTACGAAGTCGTTTGGGTTGCTGCGATAGCAACATAGAGAGGTGTTCTTTTTCTCTCTTTCTCTCCTTCGCTCTTTTCACCAGTCGGGGATGACGAGTGGAGTGGTGAGGGACGACAGAATTGATAAAACAGCACGGTTGTCTCTTGCCTCGTCGCGTGTGTACACGTTTTGAGACAAAGTACAAGGCGAAAACGCGAACTTCGAGCGGCATTGTGCCGACACGTGCGACCACTCATCATCTTCTTGGTTGCAAAGTGTTAGCCCGCTATTAGCGCATCTTCCTTGACATACAGCCGGCGGTACTGCCACCCTCCCGTTTTTCCCCCTCGAATCGATGCCTCATCCTCTTCAAAGCCCGATCAACTTGCTACTTGCGAAGGTCCTACGATACTTGCGCCGATAGTTTCGATTTTCGAAAACAATCTTGAAATTTGCTTGAGAAATTTGCTTGCTTGATTGCTGTAGCTCCCTTTTTTATTGTAGGTTTCTTCGTTTCAAGAATCTGTAGATTTCATTCTCTCGAAAATCATCACTTTCTTCCAAAAATTCGCACTCTTTGATTTTCAAAAAAACAGATTACCTCTACTTCATATTCGATTTATGAGGTGTTAGAGTTTATCTATATAATTTCTTGGTAATCTTTACAGATTTTATTTAGGTTGCATTTTTTATTTTAAAGATTGACTTAACGCCAAAATATTATCGAAGTAGCGATTATTTTTTACCATTTCTATTTTTTATAAATTAAATTAATCGCTTTTCTTATAATAAAAATATAATTTAGAAATTTAAATTTTTATTGCTTTCTTTATTTCGATGGAATATTAGAAAAATTTTTAAATCTCCTATAAATTTGATATCAAAAAGATATTAATTTAAAAAAATAAAAATGGTCACAAAATGACTATTTGATACTTTCTAATATTAATAAATGATTTTTTAATTTGACGTTTTCTGTATCCTTGAACATCGTTGATTTGATGCTTTGTCTGTTTTTTAATTTAGTTTTGAATTTGTAAACTTTTTGAACTTTGATCTCGTATAGTTTGCCATTATACTGTCAAATATGTCGCTTCATGGCAATTATCAGCAAGTATTTGGAGATATATGCTTTCGCACCTTACAAAACTGGAACAAGTTATATGATACAATAAAAAAAATACAAATACATTTTTATTAGTACTTTACATCTATATATCTATATATTGTTAAATAATAATAGCAATACTTTTTGTCCTGATTTGGCAATTATAAAAACAAAAATATCTTTCGCATGCTGTTTATACATAATGAAATCTTTCCGTTGCTATTTACACATCTTTTTACAACTTTACGTTTCGCTTTATTCAAAATCATTTTTTATTCGAATATTATTTCTACTTATTTGGAAATCGAAACACACGCATGCGTATGTTTATACAAATGAGCAACAGAATATTGTTCACGATTCGACAAGAGTTCTCGTAATTTTCAATGCTCCATTCGAACAGATCTATCGGTTAATCTTACAATAAAACAAGAGACTAATATATATGTTAGTGTTATGCTGATATCTTTTGATTTAAATTAAATACGCTGGTTCTTTATTATAGGATTACGCATTTTCAATTTCTATTATTAGTGAGAAATCGAATAAACACATTATTTTAGCGAAATTTACATGTAATTATTGACACGTCATATTATATACAGCCCACGTTATATATGTATAAGTACTAGTCTATTTTTTTATATAAAACAGTATAGTTAGTTGACATAATATACTTTGAATAACAATAAATTTTCCGTAAAACTTAACGCGGTTAAAGATTCAATTTTAAGCTTGAAAGTTCACAGTATCCTATGTCCTGCATTAAAAGGAATCTGCGTAATTTTTTTTGGTCTCTCTTGACTGTTATATACTTATATGTACAGACCTGATGTCGGCGACAGAGCTGTGTACGTTACTTTACAATATCACCAGCTTTCGTCATTTACCATTAACATAAATTTATCTATAAACTTAGGCATATATATTACATTATATTTAATTTTTTTTGATAACCAAATGACAGCGATATAATTTAGTACAATTTAGTATAAATCGCAATCACAAATCAAAGTATAAATCAAATAGTAATAAAATATAAATCAAATAGTATAAACAAAATTTCTAAACTAATATACAAAATAATATTTCATTAAATGATGAACTAGAAATTGCAGTCTTACCTATAAATATATATTGTATATATTTACTGAAAACGACTTCGACTAAGGATTAAAAGGAGTCAAACAATAATGCAACATATAGCTCTTTAAAATATAAAAAAACAGATCGAATAATTATACATTAGTATATACATTTCATTATACATTAATTTTTATTCCATGTGTGAAATTCAAATCATCAAATTTAAAATTTAAAATATCTATCAAAGAATGCTTACAATCATAAATAAAAAAGAATTACCAATCTCTCTTCATAATGCATCACTATGAGTGATACTCGTTGCAAAAAAATAAGAAAAGATAAATAGTGTATCATTACGTAATTTGCGAAATACATACTTGATAGATTAGATTTGCAAAAAGAGTATTTGCCATAAAGCAAAGTCGTAATATCATTTGAAAAAAAAATAGTTTTATATATATTAAAAATACTATCTACTTTCGGATCATATGTATATTCATCCTCATTATCCTCCATGCCGTGCACCATATTGTATCAACTTATCCCTCGCGAAAGAGAAAAAAAAGAGAGAATCATTCCGTGAAACACGAATGACTCGTAACGTATAATGATAGTCACAGCTATGTCAGGCCATTACGTAATAATGTTATTTCTGTTTGAATTACTGGCCGTTACCGACGTATTATCCGAAGTTTCGACATAATAGTCGGAATTCGATATCGCGGAATGTCCCATAATCCCGCGTCGTGCCGATGCGACTTGAACAACAGGTGCTGGAAATTCTTGAGGGTCCGCGTATAAACTCACCGTGTGTGGATTAGTGCTGCTGACCGAACGTTCCAACTCTTGTGGTTCACCTATAAATCGAACAAAACGAATATGTTCCAAGCAACTTTTTTTCAAGGTTACATATGCAAAACATAGTAGTTAATCTCACCATTTATACTATGAGTATCGGACACCATGAAAACGGTGACGTTGGATGGTTCACCAGCACTAATATTAACGCTATCCTCGGTAGTAACGAAGGACTGCTCAGAATCGGAGCTAGTGTCGCTAGAAATACTATTATCCTGTCTGGCCTGTGATCTTCTAGCTCTGTTAAAAGGATTCTCTCTTTGCCGCGTGAACGTTCCCCCTTGTGTACCTAGAAGAACATTTTTCCTCAAGTTCATAACAAATGCGTATTTTATTTATCGATCAGAAAAAAAAAATGTTTTCGCACCTTGGTGACCATCGCGAATAAGAGGTGCTGTATCATCATCCGAGTCGCTCTCGTCAGTTACGACTTGCTCGTCAGCTGCAAAAACCTTCCTTTTACAGACAGGACAAACCCTTCGATTTTTCGTCAACCATGGGTCAATACATTTAGAATGATAAGCTGAAATTAGTAAACGAATGATTAGTCGAGATATCAAATAGTTTGTTAGCGGAAAAAATGTTACATGACTAAAACATACCGTGTGCACAAGGTAAAACTCGTAATTTCTCTCCTTCTACATAATCGTCCAAACAAATGGCACAAGTCTCGTACGGATCGCCCTTCGTATACTTGTGTGTAGGAATCTTTTTTAAGCTAGAACTAGATAATCTGTGTCTTCGCTGTCGCCTTCTATCCTTTATGCATCTAACAATCTATATAGTATATAGTAATTGTGATATTAAAACCAATGAATTATTATGTTTAATATTTTGATGCATCTGTCACTTACCATAAAAATAATTATAATTAGAAAACATATCCCAACAACAACAGCGAAGGGTAAGAGCAAATGGGTATTAATATTGAATGGCAGATCGTCATTAATCAGTACAAAATATAATTGGTCATATAAGTAATTTTCTTTAATAACAACTCCCGTAATTTCGCTAACAAATACAGATGGTATCAGAATTCCTACGGGATCCTTTGCTGACATTGGTTCTGAAATAAAATACCCATTTCCTTTGCTATGTCTTCTTCGAAGCAGATCACTTTAGTAATACAATTACAATCATACACGGTTAGTTTACCTAATTCATTGCTGTTCATATTGTGTATAATAGCAGCATCATATCCAGCTTCCTGCGCCATTCGTACTTTTATCTCAAAGCTGCAGTTATAACGTCTTATTAACACTATCCAATTACCATTGTAATCAGTTGCGTTTGGCGGAGGCTGTATCTTGTGGCATGCAGTAGGGGGATCAGCGTAAACTACCATACCCTGATAATATCAAATAACATAATAAAATATGAGCATATATATAATCAATTATAAAACAAATGGAACACCATTATACTTTAATGCCCTCCGGCGGTATAATGCCCCCAAACTTGGCTGGCATATCACGGAACTCTTCCTCGATCTGATGTCTCGCCACTGCGGAAAATACTAAAATATCCGCACTGCTGTATGCAGCATACAAAATCAGAAATATAACCCATAGCAGGATCTGATGATTTAAACAACACTGACGCATTTTGAGAAATTGATCTAAGCATCTATTTTTACATCAAGTTCAATATCTTCCTGTAATTTCGCTCAAGGGTTTCATCATATGATTGCTGGATTCACTTTGTAGATATTGTGGACAGCACAAGTAACGCAGCCAGAAAGTACATTGTAAAAAAAGTACAGTCGGGCCACTCTAGAAAAAGAAAAAGTTCAGTTCTCAGCCTCGGTTCTCCACAGCTCTCTTAGATTCTTAAATGAGACTCTTACACACGTACAACGATAATACACACGTAGTGTATTCACAATACACACGCCCAATCTAATCAAAGTAAACAAACACGTGCGCGACCTGTCAGTTCTCAACGATTTCAAATCTCACAAGTTGGAGCACATTACGATCGCTCGCTCCGAGAGATCCCAGGGACAAAGCGAGCAAATTATCCGTGACTCATAAATAAATCTCCGCGCAACAACTTCCACGATCCAGCATCAATGCGAGCGTAGAGGTGGAGGGACAAGGGGGAGGAATTAAATCTCGCCGGGACACTGACGTCGAGTCAGGACTCGGAGGAAGGAATACACCTGTCGTCGACAGAAAGAGAGAGACGATCGTTTTACCCGGCGAACGGAGTCTGTTGACGAGTTTTGTCCCCCCCCCCCCTCTGTTCGAGCAAGCGACCGCGATAACACGATACGTCGATGTACGAATCTACGAGCGGGACGCGTGCGTGTATTCGTGCGTGCAACTGCCGATCATGAGGCACGTTCGCTCATCTTCGCATCGCATTGCGTCGCGTTGCGATAATCGTCGGCGATGACGACGGAGCGAATCTCGAGCGCTCGGAAATAAATTAATCTGATAGATGGTACTGAGAGAGAGATGATACATACTGCGAGATTGTCTACGAGGTTGTCTCTCATCCGCACGCGACCATCAGTCACTCGGCGATCCTCGCGAACGATCCTCGACCGGCCATCGACAAGGACGTTCTGACCAGGAGGATCTCTTCTTTCCCCCCCTCTCTTTCTCTCTTCACTTTGTTCTCTCTCTCTCTCTTTCTCTTGAATTCAGAGTATTTATCTGAATTCCAAAGAATTCCCGAATTTCTCCTGAACAGCGACGAATTGCTCGCGTGACCGCGACGACGGAAGGGCCTTGTCACGAGTGCGACGTCGCTTTCGAGGTTAGCTGCGTCTCATTCCCCGTTCGGAGGTCTCCTCGTAACAAATGACGGGGCGAGGTAGAAACGGCGACGACGCGAGCGAACGACGGCGGGATGGATGTTCACGCAGCATCGATCGATCGGATCGGTATCGCGGATAGAAGTCGGCTACAAATCGTTAAACTGATCAAACGAGCTGTCGGATGGTCGGATGTATGGACTATCGACACACGCGAAGTGCGTAGGACCCGCAGCCAATCGCGTGCGTGCGTGGGCGAGGGATAACCGCATCGGCACGCGACTCTTTGTATTCATTTTTTATTTCTTCATTTCACTTCCTCTATTTTATATTTCATTTCATTGGAATATTATATTAAATAGATTAAAAAAATACGTTATTATCATACAGGATGAAGCATTAGAAATTGTCATCTTGATTTTGTAGAATAAACTTTTAAATAATTAAAAACAAATTAAAGTTGCATACATGTGAGGAGGAAGATGAGTCAAACAAAATTTTTCTAGCTGGATGTATTTGGGAGACCTAAAGTTGACACTTAATTAAATGAAAAACGTTTTCTTTATAGCAGGATTGTAATATATATTTTTCATATAAAATCCTGCTACAACAATGCTATATACACCACGAACCATACAATATTTATAAAATCTTCATCCAATTGTAACTTGTACATCATTGCCTTGCACATTATGAAACTTGATGTGCAGAAAATACGGCTGGAAAAATTTTATCTAAAACAATACACATTTATATTAAACATAAGTATGAAATCAAATTTGTAATAACGACGCAATCGTTAATAACGTATTTGTTTCGAAAAAGCTGAGAAGCTGAAGGTAAAATCGAGGTAGGATGAAAATTAGTTGACTTCGACAGTATTGTTTTACATTGTAGAAAATTACAATTAGAAGGCACGAATATAACGAAGCTACAGTGCACATTCTTGATAAAACATTTATGTAATTGTCAGTCAAAGTGGCAAGAACTCGATTAATTCAAGGCACCTTTAATAACATTCAATACCCACTGATTTCTGGATGCATTTAATAGTCTATATTCTTTTAAAGTAATTATATACAATTATCGTAACTTTATCCCCGAAAATTGGAACGTTAAATTTGTACGCAGAAATTTATCATCAAGCAACTGCACTTTCATCATTCTTTGCACCTGAATAAAACAATTAACTCGCAAACAAATGTATTTCATACAGAATCTAATTTCTTTTACAATTTGCAATTATTTACAATTATAATTGTAATTTTATCCCCATAAGAATCTGAATGTTAAATTTGTCCGCGTGAAAACCTATCGTCAAGCAACTGCGCTTTCATCAAAATAGTCTTCTTTTGCGCCTGATCAAATCGGTTAACTTGCAAATCAATGTCTCTATCAAATGGTCTTCTTGTTGATACTCCAGTTCGTTTTGCTTCCTTTTCTTCTTTCTGAAAAATTAGATATAATGCAGTAAATATATGAAAATAAATATGTGGAAATAACTAAGTCGACATCAATCAAGGATAAAAAACAAAAGGTATGGCCAAAATTAATATTATAACACATTACTTCATTAACATTTAACAATAAGATATTTAAGGCTATAAATTAAATTATTTAAATTTTTTTTTATTTCTTTTTCTCTGTCATCATAACTTCAAAATAGCAAATAAAATTACCTTCTTTTTCTTGGCAATTTTACTTTGATGCATTTCTAATAGCGACTTCTCGTGCCTTTCACTTTTATGTGCTTCCTTCTTGTGAAATTCATTTACATGTTTATTATCTGGTTCTCTAAATTTTTTTGCTTCCTAAAAAGATGACATGATGAGTATAACATTAATATACAAAATTTTAAAACTTCTAATAATACAAATAAAGTGCCTCGCACTTATAGTTTAAAATAGAAATGCACAACAGAGCACATCTTTATATATTTACCGAGTCTCTTTGCTTCTGAGCTTTTTGTACTGGCGTGTCGGTCCAGCATGATCTATCTGACATATCTGGGCCATCTCGAAGTTTGAATTTGCGCGGGCCTAATCCAAGATTAGCAGCTTGAGCAGGAGGTAACTCGGTCATCCATTCCTCGCGTTTACTTCCGAGATCAATCTGAAATACGAAGTCTTTTCTTTCTCCTCAATGAAATTAATAATTCATAATACAAATGATTTATTACTGGATAGGAAACGAATCGTCACGATAACATAACTTCCATATGAAAACAATCGACTCACATAAACTAAATTTCTCACCCAATATATTTTTCAATATACAGATTGGAAGAATTAGAAATTGTAAAGAAACGAAAATAATTTGTTCCGAGAACCAAGATTCTATAATAAATTGTGCGATAAAATATTTATTTTAAATTAAAAACTCGGCGTTTTAAACAGAAAACTTCATTGTAATACAAACCGCGAGGACGAGAATAAAAGCTGAAATTAATCGTTAATTAAATGATAAAATTATTAATAAATTTTACAATTGTATAATTGTTGACATTACAAACGGAGATTCGAAAAAGTAAGGAAAGAAATAATTTGCTTTACCTCTTCCGGATATTTTTCATCTCTAATCCTTTGTGCTCTTAAATCTAACTGTTCGTGTACGAGACTAGTTTTCAAAGCTGGATGATCCACAGGTAGGGGACCAATCGCACAATCGTCGTCGGATTTCGGGGATGCGGTAAAATCTTCGTCACGCGATTTCGCAATACTCGGTAGTACAGGTCCGATAATTCTGTCCCGTGAATCGTTTTCTTGTTGTTGTAACAAATGTGGTGGCAGTGCTGGTCCAAAAACAGCGTCTGCTTCCGCCGCGTCTTCTTGCTCCACGCTTCGACGCTCGTTTAATCGAGGTGGCAAGCAAGGTCCAATAAAATTCACTTGTTCTTTATCGACTTCGTCATTAAGTTTATTTTCGTCGTTTATATTTGACGTCTTCGAATCGAGTTCGTCAGTGTCGGATGTATTAGATACAAACCCTGGCGGTAAAAGTGGACCATACGTGGATCCAATTTGTTCCATACTTTCTTCCGACAATCGTGTCTCATCTAAAGTAATATTAGGAATACGCGAATATTTTTCTTCCAAGCTCGAATATTCAACACTGTCACGAGTAAGCACTCTCTCCTCTTCACGATACTCAGATTTTTTTCTCTCAGAGTCCATATAAATCTCTCTCGTTACCAAAAGCGTTGTGGATGTTGCGGAACCGAATAAGGAATCTGAAACGGCACTAGGATTATTATTATTAGAACTAGATGCCGGATCGTGGCTCCTTCTTTTTACCTTAAATTCCGCCCACCGTTCTCTCTCGTTGGCTCCGTCGTCGTTTTCTCGTTTTGTTGCACGACTCTCTGACCGGATTTCAGAGTGCCTTTTCAATTTGATCTTATGCGAGTGCGGAGATGACGTTCGGCTCCTCGAATTCCGGCCATCGGACATGTTCTCATCGGTCTCTGAGAGAACGTCAAATTGTGACAGATCTAAGCCCTTTTGAGCCTCTATAGACGAATCCTGTTTAGCATTTTCGCTCGAACGAGTCTCACTGTGACTGCGCTCTCGCTCAGTATTCTTAGGCGAGGAATGTTCCCTTGAATTCTGCGACTTGTTCTCTTTCGCGGATATTTTCCTAGAGGATTCGTATCTCCCGTGATCTTCTCGAGATCGATGATCGTCGTTCGAGAATTTGGCTCTACTCGACTGATAAGATCTGTCCCGACTCCTGTCACGAGAACGATGTTTGTATCTTTCGTGATATCGACTTCTGTACTTGTCGCTTGATCCTCGCTCATCATGATAGTTTCTCTCGTACGAATGTTCTTGCGATCGTTGCGCCCGATGGACGTTTCGATCTTTGTCGAATTGTCGTTTCGAGTCACGCAATCTTTCCTTTACATCGCTCCCATTAGAATTTCTAGAGCCTCTGTCATTCGTGGCGGATCCAGCGGATGCGTCCCTATCTTCCTTATAATCCTTGTGCAAATTTTTGTTATCCTCCTGCCTCGAGTTCCTCGACTCATGCCTCGAATGTTTCGCGGAGTATCTAAAATCTCTGTCATCCGTTTTGCTATTGCTTTCGTATTTAGAACGTTCCTTCCGATCTCGATAGTTTTCGTTGCGAGATGACCTGTGCTTCTTAGGCGATTTTATGCGATCTGTGATATCCACAGGCACGATCGGATCCTTGCGCGTAGCCTCGAAACGAAATCGCCGTCCGTCATCGCTATCTTGACTCTCAGAATCGGAATCCATCGCTGTCATAGTCTACTTACATGCTGAAAATATGATAAAACTATTATAAGTTGAATTTTTAATATACGTAACAGATATATAAATAACTATATATAACATCTCTTGAATTTATGCGCGGTATCAGATAATACATTCCAGCAGCCAATATTTCAATCTATCTTGATAAAAAACGAAACTTTTAAAATAAAAAAAATAAATAATTATATTGTTTTACGAGCGTATACCACAAATTGAAGGTATCAAATATACCTATAAATAAAATGTTACATTGTTGATTGCGACTATCTCCACTTTATTTGTGATACAGGCTTCGTATAAGAATTTACAAATGTGTGTATATATATTAGTATATGTATATATATATATATATATATATATATATATATATATATATATATATATTAGAACAAAATTTCTGCTTTTTCTAAAAGTACAGCTACTACTCGACGCGCTTCTCAGCATTTTTAAACTCTGTCTTCTTTATAACAGGCTCAACAATTTTATTGATCTTATTCGAAGGCTCAGGTAAGATATTGTTCGGGGGATTCGATTGTAACATTTTAATTATCTTGGCACCGCTATATTTAACGGACTTTATGAGTCCCGCGGTTATGATTCCTTTTAGGCTTTGCGTTATGCTGGATCTCCAAACAATTTCTTTCAAGCATTGTTCCAATATCTCGTAACATTCCGGATCGTGTGCTATCGCGCGTAAGCAATCCTCCGTGTCTTTCGATCTTGGTCCATGGGACCACGCCCTGACTAATTTGATCTGCGGCGTTCTGGGCAAATGATTCAAATGATGAACTTTAGTCGCCGGACTAGTGTCCTGATGACACGTCACAGCCATGTGATCTGATTTTGGAATATCTACATAATTGTCAAAATGTTTCAAAATCGGTTCGTACAACTTCTTGAAATGATGTAATTGCGGCAACACTATGTTACTGATTTTATCTTTATTCTCGCCGAAAATCATTCGAAAGTCACCGTGGTAGGATAGACTGGTAACTCTCTTGAAAAAGTCAACCTCTGTGAAATGCTCGGGTAGCAACAACAGAGCTGCATGCACGGCCGAATGTAAATTCTGCACCAGAGCGGTGCGCAATTGAGAATTTTCGTCTGGTTCCACCAATACTTTAACCGGTTTATGCAGTCTTCCTGCCAAGTACAGATTGTTCCAATCTAATAAATCCTCTACCAATGAAATCTCCGACATCACACCATACTTAATGAGTTGACCCTGATTTGTTCTCACCAGGGTATTGTAAAATATCTTAGCACCTGACCCTTCTTGGATCTTGGTAATTACTTTAGAGCCAAGGAATTTCAATGGTTGGGCGTAGTGCTTAGGATTGCTCATTAGATTTTCCGCATGCCATTTGTTAGCATTGCGTACAACAAATATAAGATCCAGCATGTTATCACCATCGTTGTTAGCCTGCTTGAACGCACCTGATCCATAAGCGAAACAGAATTTCATATTCCCAGGAAACTGCCCGAGTAAATGCCTCAGTTGCGGCACTTTGGTGACTTTATCCATCGCTCTGAATTAACAAAAGTTCTAACACGACGAATACCTTGGGATGCGCATCAACAACACCTATAATTTCACACAGCCTCTTACATTGCCTGATCTAATTTTAACGCATATCGTAAAACTCGTTGCTGAGAACACGCTCTTTACAACCAGGATACGGTTGATGTTACAATTCGCACCATGAAGATCGACGCTGGAGTCGGTCGGTTAGAGGAAGGTACGTTGAGGACGAGCGACAATTCCCAGCATGCGTCTCCTGTCCTGCAGGTGCCGAGCGATCGCCAATTAATCGTCGCAATTAACCCCGCGTTTCCCTAGCACGATCACCCGCTTAACCTAGAAACGCAACCCGTGAATAGCTCGCTTTCACGTTTTACTCACCAGTATAGAAAGGAAAATCTCCTTTTTCCAAGAGGACTAACCGAGACAGTTCCCGGGACAGTTCCTAAGGATGGAGCTTAGCCCGAACTGATCGTAGTTGGATCAGGAATTTTTCGACGTGTACCGTACACGCGCACGCAGGAACGCCTGCTTACGTTCACATACGTGTTACGTATCACGAGATGATGACTGTGATGATGCGTGTGATTTTCAGTCTTCCTCTTCGAAGCAACGGGGCCTCAATGTCATCGTTTGGATGTAACGTGAGGACTCACTTAACCAGACGCAAGTGAGAAAAAGGGTAACGCGCCATTATACATGTATATAAATTGAATCGCTCAATTGCTCTCGTGACGAAGCGTATCGTTTGCCCTTTAAACACGACACACTGATCTAGAAATTCCGGAGCTCTGCGCCTCGCGTAGGAAACGTAGGGGACCTGGGGTATTGTTGTGAACGCCCTTAAGGATACGAACTTCCGGAATTGTGAACATCGCTATCGTTGATGACGTCAGAAAGCGACGAAATACGTGCGATAAAGATTCTCGCGAAGTATCTTAAAATGGAAATATTATTTAATAAAACGACTTTTGCCGTCGTTAAAACACATCCATAAAAAATTTCGGAAAACTCTCTTTTGCTTTGGTAATTAAAAACAGCAATTCAATTCTAGATTATGGTTATTTATTGATTATCGAAGAAAAAAAGGAAATTTCTTTTTTCATTATATTTGACAAGTCCGTTTAATCGCACATGTTTCATTGAAAAATATTTTAAAAATTTTACATTCTCTATTTTTAATTTTCATTTTTAATTTCTTGTTAATTATTTCTTGTCATTATGTCGGGGTTTTAATTCTGCTGTTTCGCATTCTGTTTTTCTGATTTTAATACAAAAGCAGAAACGCGGAAAAGCAATTTTTTTATTAATTATGCCTTGCAAATTTTTTACTTTCGTTTCTGTGAATGTAAATGCAGCCTTGGAAATCTTGCTGAATAGTCGATACGCATTTCGAGATATCGACTTCTCGTTCTCGACGCGACGTGACTTTTTCCTTTGCGAGAAAGAATCGACGCGAAGACCGTCCTCGTCGGATTTTAGTTCAGGCTGGTCGTCGCACGGTAGATCTTTCCGTGACTTCCGAAAGATTCACGTTAGTTCTCTCACGGCACTACCGTTCCTCTCTGTTGTCTGAATTTCCGCGTTGGTATTTCCGCGAATTAGGCGAGGTCAGCGAGGAAATAAAGGAGCGAGAACGCGGCCGACCGGGAGGCGACATGGAGGTCGACGTGCCTGAGGAGAATACAAACGAGCCGACGGCGATGGAGATCGACGAGGACACCTCCGAGAGAAACCCCAGGGTGTCCGGGAGTGTCAAGGTCATGGCTTCTTCGGGTACCATCGGTTCCGTGTCTATTAGCCTGCATCCGCTGGTGATCATGAACGTCAGCGAGCACTGGACCAGGCTCAGAGCTCAGGAAGGCAGCGATCAGTTGGGTAAGATTTTTTCCGATTAACCCCAGAGGAGCACTCGCATTTTAAACTATATGTTAAGAATTATAAATTTTACAATTTAACACATATTAGGCTGAACAGTATAGAAATAGAAAAATATATGCAGTAAAACTTAAGCAAATTGATTAATTAAAATTAAGAATTTTAAAATGATAATTTTACATATTTTGTTATAATTAACCTTTATAATTCACTTATTGATAAAGCTTATATTTTTCTATGTGCCATTAGCTTTAATACATAGAGATTGAGATATTTCTAGAGATTGTTTAGTTATAAATTTATTAAATTTGACTTGTAATGATAGAAGGCTTATTAGCATTACAGTGTTTTTGATGATAATATATTTTCAGTCTATGGTGCTCTGATTGGTAAACAGAAGGGTCGCAACATAGAGATCATGAATTCCTTTGAACTCCTGTTTACATGTATTGGTGATGATGTCATAATTGATAGGGATTATTATAATACAAAGGAAGAACAGTTTAAACAAGTCTTCAGTGAAATGGATTTTTTGGGTTGGTATACCACTGGTGATATGCCTACTGAGAAAGATATCAGAGTGCACAAACAACTCTGTGAGATAAATGAAAGTCCTGTATTATTGAAACTAGATCCAAGACCAAAAAATACAGAGGTATATATTGAAATATATTTATGTGAAAAGTATTTTATTTTTTTTTTATTTACTATTTTTATATTTTTTAAAGAATTGAAGGATGACATGTTAAAGAATAATTTGGTTGTTGCAGCATTTATCTGTCTCTATGTATGAATCAGTAATCGACTTGGTTAACGGTGAAGCTACCATGTTATTTGTTCCGTTAACTTACACATTAGCCACTGAAGAAGCTGAAAGAATTGGAGTCGATCACGTACAAAGGATGTGTAACAACGATCAAGGCGAATGTTCAGTAGGTGAGTGATAGATAAGTTTAGATAATTTTTGTATTTTAAAAAACTTAGAATTGACAATAAATTAACTAAATATCTGATTTTAGTGGCTGAACACTTAACGGCACAACACAGCGCCATTAAAATGTTGCACGCGCGAGTGAAACTCGTTCTAAGATACGTGCAAGCAGTTCAGAATGGAGAATTGAAAGGGAATCATGAAGTTCTTCGAGCAGCTTGTTCTTTGAGTCACCGACTGCCTGTTCTGAATAATCCGAAATTTAAGGCTGACTTTTATAATGTTAGTATGCATATTGATATATGCGTTATAAAAGGTACGTCAAGAATATAATTATATTGATGTTTGTTTTTGTGTTTTCAGCAATGCAATGATTTCGGATTGATGACGTATCTCGGTATTATAACTAAAGGCTGTAATAATATAAATCAATTTGTAAACAAATTTAACATCCTATACGATAGACAAGGCGTGGGACGACGTCTACGAAGTCTTTTCTTCTGACTATGTAAATAGAATATATTGTTTTTATACACGTCTTTTTTACTTCTTAGATAATTAAGTATCAAACTCAGGATTAAAGTTTAAACAGCCAACTTAATCGAAGGATAGTTTGAATATTACTTCTAGAGATACGTTGTATTAAATATAAATAAAAGTAAAGAAGTTATATAGCAGTCTTTTTGAAGTAAAGTGTAATAGCAAATGATAGAGAGTAACAATCACCCGAAACATACATATTATCCGTTAATATAATTCAAAAATAATATTTATTAAATGCTGTCTTGTATAAATGATATGTTTTAACATTTTTTGATTAACAATAACGTGTGATATTAATAAAAAAAAAATACTGTGATGAATCTCAAAAAATCTTTTGCTTTGCATTAATATCGATTTGGAGCATTAAATTATAATATCGAAAAGGAGAAATATAAAATTGATATCGCAAATTAGAAACACCATGAAATAAGCAATTTAGAATAGATACAAAATTCCATGTTGTGATACAAATTTATTAATATATACTTTATATATTCCGCACATTTTATATCGTATATATATATATATATATATGTATATATATATGTTTTGAAACATTCCTATCATTGCTTAAAATGAGAAATATATCGAGAGTATATAAATCATAGGATAAATACTTTCACACGTTTTTGCTTTTAATGGAAGACCTCATTTTAATTGATTTATATACTACCAAGCATACTTTTTCTCCACTAGGCCATAATACCCATCCTTTACATCTGAATTTGCGATTCCATAGCAGCAACTTATGTACACACATAAGTTTTAGCTTCATAAAAAAATTGCCTATAGTAATATATATTTTATTATAAAATACTAAAAGTTTTTCTCTAAAAATCTATTCGCATATTACGTATATATATATATTCCGACTTAAAATATAGAACGACTTAAAAATATTATTGTACAAAATATAGTTTAGTATATTGTGCCTCATTAATTATTGCATGTAACTGTATACCTCAGTTACTCGTTCTGTACGAAGTAAAACCAGAATTGACCTCTTGCACACGACTAGACCGTTATTACGTATAATTGCAGAATTTGCCACGACGACGTGACAATGACAACTGAACTTCCGGTATATCACACTATTCTTTTTTCCCACGTTGCTTCTCGGAAATATGTATTGACGCGGATGATTCTTAAATTCTTACAATTTGACTTGACAACACGATACACTACGTACACAGACTAGAAAATATCGCAACGGCTACATCTATATAATTTTTTTCCTATTTGATATATTGCCTTGTACAATGAATTGTGCGAATTTGCCTGATATCATTTTGATATGCTAGACGAGAATAGTACACAGTTGAAACGAAGGAAAAGAAGACTGAGAAACCTCCCTTTCGCCAACATAAAATTCGTATAACGCGTTTTATCTAGAGATTACGCTTGTACGAATTAGAATTAGTTCTCGATCTTGCATTTAACTACAATCGAATACCCGTTCGTGTTTTTTTTTTTTCTTTTTGTTCGTCTCACGGAAGAATAGTGTAGTGATATATTAGTGATTAATTTTTTAGTAGGCTGTCTTCGATCATGGTAGCCAGCACGTCCACCAGAACGGACAGCATCGAATCGGGCTAAGGACTCGATTTGTCCATACCGATGATCTCCTCGAAGAGGTTGTTCCTTCCTTCCGCCCGTTCCTCGATCGTCTGCATAGCGTATCGCAGCGTCGCGGCGGCCAAGTCGCCCACCGACCAACGTCTATCTATCAAAACTCTGCTCACGGTGTCCAACTGAAATGTGAATTACAGTTAGAGCAGTGAAAAGTCAGGCAATAAATAATTGGCGTCGTTTTTTATTTTTACCTTAGATAGATTGGGATTGCCAGAAGTGTAATAAATTAGTCTTGGCGTGCCTGCCAAGGAAGAAGCGAGCCATTGAATAACGAGCTTCAATTGCGGATCGCCTTTCAATCTAGTCCCGCATCCCCAATTGCCGGTAGCCACAGGCAATAAACCTCCTCCTTGAGGGCTGTTCTCGCGCGGCAACTACGCACATGATGAGATAATCTATTATAAATTATTTTGTATACACCGATCTCTTTCCTGATGCGGTAAACGTAATTAGTAAAGATTTCAAGTTCTTACTAACTGGGGGCTTAATTATCGGATGTCATTAAAATTTTTAGAGGTATATGAAACATGAAAAGCTAAATGATTATTATTGTTTTAGTTTACATAGAAAATTATTCTGCCTTTTATCATAACAATAGAGAAACGAAAATAAATACAAACAATACGTTCGTCCGAATGGTTAATAACAAATGAAACGAAGCGAGAAATGTGCGTAAATGAAGAACTGTAAATCAGATAGACTGAGAGACAGATGAATGTATTAGTTATAAGGATCTTGAAGATGTTGATCTCAGTCCGTGTGTCATGCATCAGGTCGAGAAAAAGAGAGAGAAAATGGAGAAAATGTCCGTTTGTCAATATCTATTAATTTTAATCTTGATTTCATTTACTCTTTATCTTTTTGACAAAAAAAAAGAGAAAAGAGTAAGTTAAACCGAGATGAAAATTAATTCATATAGAATTAGATATAAAAAATTCGAAACGATTTTAGCCTCGTCAGGATTTCATCTCGCCAAAGAGTCCCAAGCCACAGAAGGTGTTTTTCCCAAGCGATTTTCAAGTGTTCGAACATAGTTGCTATCTCATGCATTGCGATTACACACATGATGCGGTCAAGTCATCAGAATCACCTCCGAGACCCTGAGTGTGCTCGCTTCGCGCGTCTCACGCTCGCTCGTCGTCTGTTCCGATTCGAACATAGGCGGTGTGGATAGACGTACGGTCGTATGATCATCGATCAACGTTTGGAATACTTCTGACGTGAGCGTGACAGCCCAAAGTTTCCTACGTTGGACGTCTTTCGTCTCTCTTACCATCTCGCACGAAGCGTCTTCGTAACAATCTACATCTTCGGACTCAGACACCTGTATAGCATTCCGGCTGCCTGTAGCCTAAACTCGTAACTTTTCATTTACCGATTATTCTACGTTAGAGAATAGCTTCACGATCGAATCAATCCCCTGACTGTCAAGACTGTCTCTCATTCCATCTTACTGCTTAATGGAAGAAATTTTGCTGAAGTGTCTAAAAATGTGACCATACACAAATCTAGAAATAATTCTTTTGGGCCTTCAGAATAACAATATAGGACGTTCAAATTAGTTGCTAAAACATAAAAGAGATTTGTAATATTATCATCATATTTAAACGCCCTATTTAATAATTTTGATAGCTCAACAAAATTATTTTCAGATCTATATCTAGCCAAATTAGACGCTTGAGCAAAACTGTTTTTTGCGTGTAACTAGGTTTTCAGAGTATATCTGTATGCCTTTATTGTACTGTAAGTGTATCTTTAACGCGGATTAAGAAATTACTAGAAGCTACTATTAAGTTTACTCTGTGGCTCTAAAAGGAGATAGTTAAGCTTTAATTTGTTATAATTATGTACAATGCATATCTCGAATACTTTCGTTCAGGAACCAAAAAAATCACGGGCGCGTTCACAATTAGTTCTGCAAAGTGAATTTCTGCACAGTGAATTTTATCGCGGAGAAACAGAAAAGTTGAGTTTTTTTTCCTAATTCAATTGTTTCGCGAAGATTTAACATATTTGATGAAACTTCTTTCTTACTGATTGTTGTCTCCGATTTTTCTGCCGAGCGAGCTCCAAGCTGAGGCTCCTCACGGCTAAGGCCAGCTTGTGCTGCTGATTTACGTCGTTTGCATCGATGAATGGTTGCGGTTCACCTTCCTGAACCGGCACGCCGGCGAACGATTCGCTTAAAGCGCGTTTCAGAAGCGAACCGGCGAATCGCACTACCGCTCGATCTCTCGCGTCCAATTCCCGGCTCTCGTCCGCAACTATCGGATCGTCCAGCCACTTTGATAATTGCTCGTAAACTTCCTCCAGCTCGGAACAAAAATCTGCACGCGTGAAAATTTAAATAAACTTGTCAGTTTATTTGTCTCACGGGTAAGTATATGAACGAATACTGTTCTCGAATACTCGCCAGAATTGTACTCGGTGCTGAAACTGTACTTGCTACTCGCGCTTGTGTCTTTCCTCTGAAACATAGGCCCCTGACTTTGTCGGAATCGGCCCAGCCATTTTTGCTCTGCTTCTAAAGACTCCTTCAGAAATTCCTCATCCACCGTCTCGTCCCTCAAAACGAAACCTCTCGAACCTCCTCTTTTCACCCTGCAATAAAGATTTGATAAAGATCAATCTAAATGATAGGCTGTATATATTTTACATTAATATATTATATATTAGTAATTTTTGATTTTCTAGCGATCAATTTGAATGTCATAATTATTTTGATGATCCAAAACAAAATTATTTTCAAATCTGTCAAATCCGGTCAAATTTTTAGATATTTCAGCAAAATGATTTCTTTCGTACTTTTTCCAGATATGTTTCTTCGACTTACTTGATGTCTTGATCACCGACGTGGCTACCACTAACGCTTATACCAACGGCATAACTGCTCTCGCCGGAGGAGGTATTCGAGGAAGTCACTCCGGTCGCCGTACTCTCTCGTTTAAGGGCATCTTTTAGTCGTTGTGCAAAAGTTCCTCTTCTTTCCGGCGTATCTAATTGCGCGCTGTAACGTTTAGTCATCTTTTGCTCTTCCTCTTCTGAAAATCATTAATAAAACACGGTTATTTTTCTTCCTTTTTTTCCTCTTTCTCTCTTTCAATTTATTTCAGGGTTATTTTATCGTATTACGTACCAGGTTCCTCGTCGATGGTCTCCTTAGCGCTGTGAAAACTATCCGTACTCTGACTGTTGCAGCTGCTGTAGACCGACATTTGCCCGAGCTGTCGTGTCACCGGTAGAACCTCGCCGCTAGATCCGAGCACGATGAATCTGTTCCTTCGGTTCGTACAACTCGCGTCCTTGCATACCTTGTGAGGACTCGGCGGTCTCATCGATTTACCATTAGGCCTGCTACGCGCCTCCAATGTCGCGTTCTCCAATCTGCGACGCTCGTCGCGCGTAGGCTGCTTGTCTGCCCGGGAAAGAAAACGGAGATCGTAGACGGGGGGGGGCGAAAGGGGCTGATTCGAGCAAATCGCGCGAATTACGTGCCTGCCGCGTCTCCCACCTGTCTTGGAATTGTTGCCCGCCGCGAAGATCCTGTCCTCGCCCTCCGTTTCCGGCGGAGTGCTGCTGAAGCTCTCGCCGATCGGCGACAGTCTGCGCGAGCCCAGTCCAACTTCCGCTTCCGGCTCGGCCTTGATCGGGTCCGTGGGGCTGCTGGGCACGTGCCGCTGGCGGAATCCCAGCAGCGACTTGTTCATCTCCCTCAAGATGTTGTCCTCCTCGAACTGCGTCAACGGCAGTCGCGAGTAATCCTCGGGATCTATGCAGCAGACCGTTACCTGTGCTCGGAAAACTGTACGATTGTTTGCCTTCCCATCGCGAGTATCGTGAAAATCCAAGCGCGAGTCCGAGATCCCGCGCTTAAACTCACCACGTTCGGCTTCGAGATACTCTCGAATATCGCTTTATGCCGGGGATCGTTTATCCTCGACATGTGCCTGACGCCCTCGATTATTAGTACTTCGTTGTCTTCTAAGGCCTCGACCGACAGTATCGCGGCGAGCATCTCCGGATGCGTCGCCACCTAAAAAAAAAGATTTCCAGATTTGCAATCTACTTCGATTTGACATGAACAGTTTACAACACATATACATACATATCTATATGAAAGAAAAACATTTTTGTTAAACTAAAAATTATTTTCAGAGCTCCGGTTAAATTTTTAGCAAAACCGATCTTTTCATGCCAAGATTGACTTTCAAGATTGACTTTTAATTATATATATATATTATATATATATATATATATATATATATATATATATCAATATATTAAGATTTATTATAACTCGTATAATCGAAGCAATCTGTGCTTATCTCTTTCCTCTGAGTTTTAAATGCACTGAACGTGTAATAAAAATTTTTTTAACGTATACGCATTAGAATTAGAATTTTTCCTAATTAGTTACGTGTACAGTCTCCTGCGTGACGTCGCCATCGAGCACACCGCCGCCAATTTTAGCGTTCACGAAACAAACTTGCAGTACTTTTGATTCCGCTTCAACCCTTTCCAATCGTCCCTCGTGACGTATCGTTAACGGACAAAGAGGTACGTTACTTTCCAGCCAGTCTTCGATAGTCAGCCACTGCTTAGATGTCATCACCTATAAATTAAAAGCTTTTGATATGTTGCACTTTGTTAAAAAAAGAATGAAGATAAATTAATAATAAACTTGAAATCTAAAGTAATGAAATTTTAATTTTAAATCACGTACCTGTCTAGAAATTATTAGACGACCGTCGAATGCATGTTCCGTCTCGAGATAATTATAATAATGAAAGATGCTTCTGAGTTTGGCTTTTTGTGCGTTTCTAGAAAAGAATAATAAAGCATTTGAAGCATTTATCGCTTCTCTTTTCCATCTTTTGAATTACACATAGACTACTCTTTGACACTGCTCTGGGTATATATTATGAATTCTATTGTTTCTTCTTTGGTAAAAAAAAAAATAATTTCTTAATGCATTCTCTTGTCTGCACAGGGATCACTTACTTGTGGAGGTGTTTGAAGAAATTTGTAAAGTTAAAATCGCGCAACGTAGGGTGAGTTTTCGCGGTTCTCTTCGGATACGTCGAGAAGAACGCGTTCGCGATTAAAGAGGAGACGAAGGCGTAGCTGTACTCGACGCTGTCACCTGCATAAAATAATTGAGTGTCATCGAAAACGATTATAATCTTGTAGTTTTCAGTCGCAAGACTATTTAAAATACTTTAACAGCGGAATATTTTTTTATACCGTGATATTTTTGCAACAAAATATGATGGACATATTGGATTTTTTTTTTTTATAGATACCTTGCTGCTGGAGACTGAAGTGTAAGCCTTGCGGGGGTTTCGTAGATTTTAAGGCCTTCGCCCTTTCCACCATTCGCGGTATTGTCTTCGTGAACACTTGCTCCCGTTCCGCGAGATCGAGTTCATTGTCTAGGAAGGTTCCCAACATGGAGAATAGGTCGGCGTCCTGCACGTCTTCCTCGGGATCGAGGCTTATACTGGATGAAACAAATGCACAGCGTATTTTAATCGCACAAGTGCAGTTGAATAATTTTTATTATTTATTACGTACAATAACATATAATTAATCATCGATCTAATATTCTAATTGCATTTCTAATTTTATTATTCATTTAATATGTATTGTATTTAAACCATTTCAACAAAATTATTTTTAGATCTGTTTTGTTATCTGTGCTATAAACAGTAAAATGAATCTCTTTTGGTATAATTTATTATCTACAGTTCCTATTTAGAATCGCAAAATTTGATTGAAGACAGTCGAAAATTCTTTAAACTTCAAAATAGGAAATTGTTCGTTTTCAACTTATTTCAAGTGCAAAGTAGTTTATTCATGTAAAATAAATCTCTCTATAAAAGTTTTGCAGAATCTGAAAAGCTTAAAAACTAAGATCAAAAGTAGAGGTAAAATTTCGGATATGGAAACAACATGCGAAAGGTAATTCGAGTCGTACTTGCACATGTCATGCAGTCGTTGCATCGCGTCTATTAGATCCTCGGAGGTTTTGGCCAAGGCGGCTTTGTCCAGTTGCTTTACGACAGCCGGCCACCAGGGCAGATCACATGGTAGCATTACTAGAGCCATTGCGAATCTACGAGGCACAGAAAGAAGATTAATATGTATAACGTTTGAATATTAATATCGCAGATTGACCCCTCGTCGAATCAGTTACATCCCTTGGCGCGTATCTTGCGAATCTCTCGAAAGCTAAAAACGATACGCGATCCTTTTCATGCATTCGACGGGGCGGCACTCTTTGAAAAACATGCTGATCGATTTGGATTTATGGTCGTAGCGTGATATGTCAAACGCTACGCGTGATGAACGCGCCGAAGTAGCGCGATCGAAAAATAAAGCAGGCCGAGAAGGGAAGTTATAATCGTTTCCCCTCCCTGTCCCATAAATCCTTCGTCCTGCAATCGTCCGATGCATTTACATGCGCGATGCAATCAGGACTTACTTACCGATTGTTTTATGATTATTCCCTGCGGTCAAAGCGTAATCAAGCCGAAGCTTAATGCGTTATTAATTACGCTAACATAATTGTTACCCTTGAACCTTTGTACTTTCAATCCTCGTTTCTCTTATTTCTCGGACGTCCGAAGATTAAATCCAAAGAGCTTTCAGATCTTAAATTCTGATTTCCTCGTAAGTCTCTTTTTATTATTATCGATCTCTTGGTTTTTCAAATGTCTAAAGAAATGGACGTGGAAAGTTCTGAATTCTCTTGTTCTCAATCAAATTGTCGCTCTTATCCCGCGAGGCTAAAGCGTTTCATCGTTTCGTTTATTCCCTCTCGAGGTAAACGCCTGGTCGCGCACGCAGGCGCAGGCCGGAGGGTTGGCTGGTTAGTAACCTCGTCCCACGAGGCGAATATAATTAGTCCGTCTTTCACCGGGGAGGGAATTCACCGGTCGTCGGCGGAACGGGCGACGACGAGCGTGCGACGGCCGCCACCGCGGACCTCCAGCGCCGCGAACCTCCGGTTTACATAATCACCTCCTTTGTTCCCCAAGGCCTACGTCGGGATCAGCTGACGCGTATGAACGGGTCTCACGTCTTACGCTCCGTCGTCGCGACGACGTCGTTCACCGACGGCGACGTTCCCGGCGTCCTGATCGCGCCCGCGAGACGCCGGCACATAGTCAGGGGGAGACCACACGCACGCGACGGAAAGACCCTTCGCGTTTCGCCGCCGCCGAGATCCAAACCCCGCGGATCTTCGGCTCGCGGTATCTCTTTTTTGATGTTCTCCGAAAACTTTCGAATTAATCCAGAGCTCTTCCGGGACGAAAGCGAAAGCGTTCCTTACGACGCTTACGTCTTGGTCTCGGCTCCCAGCCGGCGCGCGGCTGTTCTAGATTTTGAGAGGGTGTTTTGGAAAAGAGCTCCGAAGACCCGGAGCACGCGAATGCGTCGCTCTCTCTCTCTCTCTCT